GAGAGAGAGAGAGAGAGAGAGAGAGGTTCTACAGCAGCCTTGTGTTGGGACCCACAGGGCAGGACCAGCCCAAGTGGGCTCAAGGTTAAGCCCAACTGGAGACGAGGTAAAGTCAGAAGGAAATGGAATGTGCTGGGAAAATTACTCAGGCCGAGCTGGCTCTGTCATCACATGGGGTGAGGCCAGGCAGCCAAGGTGGCACGCAAGTCAAACTCCTGCCTGTCAGCAGGGCGGGCAGAGTCCTTGCCGATGGGCCCTGCCCGCTGAGGCCCAGTGACTAAGGAACAGTACGGGGCACTGGGCAGCTGAGGAGGGGTCCTGGGCGTGCAAGAGAGGAGCCAGATGAGATTGCTACTGGGACGATTCCTATGTTTGCTTCCAGAGGAGCCATGAGGACCCGAGGGTGCTAGTGACCGTGCTGGCATGTCCTGGGAAAACCCACAGGTAGCCCAGATCAAGTGGGCGTTGGAGGTGCTGAATGGCTACTGTGTCTCAGTCTGTTTAGTGGGTGTGACACGCTGTTCTCTGAAGGAAGGCAGGGGCGCACACCTGTTTCTTGAAGACAAGGAGGAAGAGGGGTGCACAGCTCATCATTGAGTGCAATGCCCTAAATATTCCAGCATGGCATCTCCCCTGCTTGGTCATTTTGTTCCTTCTCAGTTTGCTTTACTCTGAAAACGTCCCAGGATGCCCTGCTCACGGCCTTCTTGCTCTCCACAAAGCCAACGTCTGTCAGACTCAGACCTGTCTTAGACATGTCCACCCAAACACCGTTGGCAACAGGGACAAGGCATCGGCCACAGCAGCGAACTGGAAGCTTTCAACTCTCCCACTCAGGCTCCTGAGCACCGGACGCCAGCCCGGGAAAACTACTCTGGGATGCCCTAGGCTTCCAGGGGGCACCTGGCGCTGCTGCTCCCGGACCACCAAGGCCTCTTCCCCTTTCCCCTCACAGACGAGGGCTGTCAGGAGGGTGGCCATCATGCCCACTTCCTGCCAGGGCCACTGTTCCCAGGCTGCTCTTCTGACAAAACAGGGTCTCTGAGCATGCCGCTCGGCCAAGGGCGCCCTTCAGGGAGCTGCGATGGGATCTGTGCGGCTCTCGTCTCCCTGGGTGGAGCATCTCAGACCTCATCACAGGGGCAACGCTCCCACTGGTTCTTCTGGCTGCCCCCTAGAGGCCTCACTCCCGTGTCTTAGGGCCATTTGGTTTGGATCTGCCGAGCTGCTCAGAGGAGGATGGAGGTTGGGGCGGCCAGAGAGGCGAGAGCGGAGGGCAGTAGGCAGTGGGAAACGAAAAAACTCCGAGAAACGAAGACAGAGGCTGGGGGCCTGGGGGCAGGGGCGCGGAGGTCTGGGCACAGAAAGCCCCAGTTCCAGGGCAGCCTCCTCTTTCAGGCCCCACCCAGAGCCCCACCCAGCCCCATGGGGATCTCACCCGCATCCGCTGTTGACAGATGCGTGGGGAGCAGCCGTGATGAGCTGGCAGCACCCTTTCAGGGGACTCTCTCCGATATGTCTCTCTCTGATCCTGGCCTCACTCCTGCCCTCGGGAGAAGCTCCCAGGGGCCCACATCACCCACCCACAGGAGAGCTGCACCCCAAGCCCTGCCAGCACCTCTGATGGGACACACCCTAGTGTCGGCGTGTCCTCTGTCACTCGGCGCATCCTCGCCGTCCCTGGTTCAGAGCCCTTGCCGTGTCTTTCCAGACTCCTCCTCTTTCGTGACTGTCAGCCAAGCTCTGTGCCGGGCAGCTCTCTGAGCAGCTGGGCCATATGGAGGAGAAGGACATCAGGATGTGGGGACGATTCATCGTGGTCCTGAGACAGGCAGGTGACACAGGCTTGGCTGCCGAGGGCGAAGAGGGCTTCAAGTACGAACCAGACGAGGGGCAGTGTGGATTAGGCCTCAACCCGAAGACCAGGGAAATCCTCTCAGCTGGACCAGTCACCACCCACCGCCATCACTGGAAACGGTGGAGTCGTCTAGCGTGTTCTGCTACTTGGCCCCACAGCCCACACTCGTGGAAGCAGCAGTGGAAAAAATAAAATAAATAACAGGACCTGTTGCCTTGGGCGAATCTGCTGCGAGAACCCTCCCTCAAGTATGCAGGAGCCAAGACGTCATTTTGAGGACCAAGATGTGCTTCCTCCAGTCCACGATGCTTGGCCATCCCCTCGACTCCATGGGAAAGCCGGGCGAGGTCTGAGCGAGCCCCACGGGGACAGGGTGCATTTGAGTTGCCAAGAATATTGACTGGATGACGAACTGCCGAAGAGCGAGCAATCTACGGTGGAGGAAGTGCGGCCAGCATGTTCACGGACCTAGCGAGATCGGCTTCGGCCCTGGGCAGGAGTGCCACCTGGAAGTCCTCTGGGGCAGCGCCAGCCCCCCTGCACAGCCGCTGGGGGTCCGAATGGACCTCATGGCACGGGGTTTCCTCCCGGGTCCACAGACAGACGGAGGTGGCTTCCTGCCTTTTCCTCTCACAAACAAAAGGTGCGCCACAAATCCTCACACGTCCTCTTGGCTGTTTTTGTGACGGGCGATTTGCCAACTCACCGATTTCTACCTTACCGTTCGGGGAGTGACACTGGTTTCACTCTTCCGTCTTCCCGCAGGTTGGTTGCAAAAAATTTTTTTAATCATTTTATTAGGGGCTCATACAACTCTTATCACAGTCCATACATACATTAATTGTGTAAAGCACATTTGTACATTCACTGCCTTCAACACTGTCAGAACATTTGTTCTCCACCTGAGTACCTGGCATTAGCTCCTCATTTTTTCTCTTCCCTCCCTGTTCCCCCCTCCCTCATGAACCCCTGATAATTTATGAATTATTATTTTGTCATATCTTGCCCTGTCCGACATTTCCCTTCACCC